AAAAATATATATATTCGGACATTAATTAATTAAAATTTTAGTTGACTAAAATAATCCATCAATCTATAAATAAAATTCTATTGCTATAAATTATGAAAAAAAACTTTAGAAGAAAGAATTATGAATTATATATTATTTTGTGGCTTTACGAAAAGAAAGAAGCGCAGATTATTATTTGATCATTAATTGATAAACATTAATCATTTAAAAATTTAGTTGACTAAAATAATCCATCAATCTATAATAAAAATTCTATTGCTATAAATTATGTATAAAAAAAAAATTTTTAAAGAAAGAATTATGACTTATATATATTTTGTATTACACGTGCAAACAAAGTGGCACTTTGTGTGCGTGTTTTCTGTGCGGAAAGCGGCCGATTTCCCACGCCGCCATCTAGCGGCGACGCGGTGAGTGAATAAGCCGCATTCAAAGCCATTGCCTACGACTGAGCCGCGTTTAAAGTCATTGCCCACGGCTTCAACCGTGGACAATCACTTTGAACACGGCTATTCCCGCACCGTGCCGCCGCAAGATGGCGGCGTGCGATCGGCTATCCCGCGCACAAAGCCACTTTGCCTGCACTTATAATACAAAATAGTATGTGTATCACGTGCGGATTGACAATTGTTTCGCACTTGATACACAATATACTATTGTGGGCTTACGAGAAAAAAGGAGCGCACAGATTATTATTTGGTCATTACTTGATGGTCATTAATGGATTAAAATTTTACTTGACAAAATAATTCATTAATCGGTAATCAGAATTCTATTACTATAGATTATGTTTAAAAAAAAAATGTTTAGAAGAAAGAATTATATATTTTGTGAGCTTGCAAGAAAGAAAGAGTAATTATTCCACCGTTCATTCATAAATTTAATTGAAGCGTTTTCCGCGGTCGCACGTGTTTTGCGGCACGCGACGTGATTTTACATACGTATATACGCACTCACGTGACACGCGTATATATACATATATATGCGTATATACGTCGCAGGAATGCGTGTTTCTTTGTAAAACAGGATATATATATATATATATATATATATATATATGTGTGTGTGTGTGTGTGTATACATCGGTGTCCCGAGAATCGGCTCCGCGTTCTTTCGTGACCGTCGGACATTAATTACGTGTGCCGTGCCTTTTTAATACGAATCTCGCCTTTGTGAGGGAGGAGAGGGAAGAGAAAGGTGGTGGACGCCGGCGAGACAAAAGCGTGTGTACCTGACGACGGAATTATTATTTTTCGCATTCATCCCTTCGTCGCCCCTTCGTTCCGCTTCGTCCGCTCCTTGATTTTTTTTTTATCCGCCAGGATCCCGCTTGTCAATTGCATTCGGACAGAAAAAGAGGAAAGTATATTCCCTACCTCTGCTCAATCTTCCCATTACGACGCGTCTCGCTCGAGATTAGCATATCCGAAAAATCATCGATCATACGTAAATTCACGCGGGTACACCTGGCCCTGACCTCCATCGGTATCATCTTATCTCTGGTGATCTTTCCTGGTGTCCCCGTGTCATCTCAATTCTCGATCCGAAGAATTCCGGGGTCTCCTCCGTTCGGCTAATAAAATCATCCGCATCGAGACTGGAAATTATCTGACGAATTCATCTGCTTATCGAGCATTAAAACGCTGCGGTTGTCCCGATGCTATCTCTTCTCTCCACTTCTCTTTTTTCCCTTCATCTCTTTCTTTTTCTCTTTCTCGCGTAGGTAGATATAGGTGCCTAGACGCACTGTGGCGCCACCCGAACTCTTTCCCTTTCTTGCTTGGCTTTATTTATTTATTTTTATCCATTCAATACGCCCCACGACAGATATTCCTTAAGTTCGGGGAGGCCAGTTTAATAAGAGTCTTGTATATACATATATATCCTCTATATAATGTATCTATAATTCACTGAAGAAACGATTGTTATAATCTAACCTAGGAATCTTGGAGCCAAGATTTCCGTCCGCCATTATTCGTATCGTATATGGAGAGAAGGGAAGGAAGGTTGTTCGGTATTAAAATTTATCATACACTAGAAAAAATTTATTGAATTTGAATAAATATTTAGTTTAATACTGTCTAATAAAATATTTATTTGACATAAGAAAAATTCTTTTCAAAACAGATAAATATATTTATTTGTTTCAAATAAATGATTTATTAGGCAGTATTGAAATAAATATTTATTAATTTAATAATTTTTTTTTTCAATGTTTGAATGTGAAAACTTTTATATTTATTGTCAAAGGAATTTATTATATTTATATCAATTTTGCATTCAATCATCTTTAATAATAATTTGGTAAAATCTTTGATAAATCGATATATGCGAATAATTTTAACACAATTGTTATTTCTAAAAAAAAGATATAAAATTATCTAAAATATTTATCGCTTTATTAAAAAAAATGTAGGAATAAGCACATAGGATTTTAGGATTTATTACATCCGGAATAAATATAAGACTACACATTTGAATATCTTTACTTGTCATGTATAATATATATATTTCGGAGATCTTCTGCAAAACAAATATAATATAATACAACCGTTCGCGATTAAAGATATTTTTTTTACTATTGACAATTAATAATTAAGCATTTACATTAAGGACGAAAATAATTATTATTATAATAATAATTACACACTGTCTTATCTAGACTTCTGAATATACAGACTTCTGAATATCACATATATAATAAAACTTATAAGTATTTTACATGGACTTTCTTCAGTCCCCACGTGTTCATATATTTAATTTTATATATACAAAGGTTTCAATGCATGCTCTCTCTCTCTCTCTCTCTCTCTCTCTCTCTCTCTCTCTCTCTCATACATACACATATACGTACTCTCTCTTACTCTTTTTTACTCTTTCTTTCTTTCACACTTTTCTCTTATAGCACAAAATACACATTTAAAATTTTGTACCTGAAAATAAAGCATAATTAATCAGTTTTCTCAATTACAAACGTACTCTATCGCTAGATTCGAGTAATATGAGAAGCGCGTATGAAGAATCGTTGATAAATCGTCGATAAATGGACAAATTAGACTTGCGCTATTACTTGGCGATTAATAAAATTGAGGCACGAGCGTGACGCGTATATTTCTATATATATTTCTATATTCGATCAATTATTTTGTTATCGGAAGATTACATTTTCAAAATGCCTTGCGTTTCTGTTCGATGAATAATGCAAAACTGGTTTCCAAATTGCCTCTTCGCATCTTGGGTCACGTTGATGCCAACAATACCGTAAATTCGATGGTTCATAACTCAAGAAGTTTGTAATGAAAGGTTTTTAATTATACCATTTTGAAAATATGTCTCAATATCAGATAAAATAAGCACTAAAAATTTTATATGTATATATATATATATATATATATATATATATATATAATGTATACATATATATGTGTGTATATATGTACATTTATCTAAAAAAATTTAAGATAATTGCTGCATGGTTTTCCCAAAGTGACCCAAGATGAAAATAATATCACTATTTGATGCATCACTTGAAGCCCTACAACTTTTGTTGAAGCATTATTGTTGTTTTACGTCTTTATAAGAATATTATATACAATGTAAAAAATCTCCGAATCAAAAATGAATTATAATTTTAATCATATAAAATAACTATTCAAAAATTCAAATTATATATATGTTAAGAAAAATCAAATTTAAAATTTAATTTTCCCTAAAAATAAAACAAGCTTCTTTCAAGTTTTTTACATGGAAAATAAAATCGTCTTAAATCTTTCTCGAAAACAATTTTGCGTAAGACATAATTATGATTACATTATTTGTTTGTTTGTTATATACATTTGTTTATTTTGTTTATACTTTTTACATTCAGGTTCTTTGTTCTATTCTTTTTCGCTTTCTTTATCAGCCTCCTTAATTTTAAATGCAGAAATTTCTAAAAAAAAGTCAACAAAAAGACAAATAAATTTATTATTATATACAAATCTTAAAGTAATATTTTTAAAAATTCAAGATTTTTGGTCTCTTATTATTAAATTATGATGTCAAAAGCGAGAAATTATTTGAGTTTTCTCGCGTTAAAACAAATAAATTTTTTAATGTGACTACTTACGTTCGCGTAATACAGACTAGTAAAATATCAATCAGTAAAATCTTTTTAATAATAATAATAATTAATAATAGTAATTAAGTGTTCAAAATATAGTACTTAATATTAATTTTAATGGTAATTAATAGATAATAATAATTATTAGAATATTGGTTTTCGGATTTGAACCGTGTAAATTTTTTATTTGATTCCAACACTCCATGAACATTATAAATACTAATATCAGGCTATTCGTCTCTAACAAAGTAAGCTAAAATATTTAAATTTGAAAACTAATTCTAGTATTCAGTCTAATATTTACATCGCAAAAATTCTAATATTTATATCGCAAAAGATCAAATATTAAATACTAATAATAATTAATAAATAGCTGTACATATATCTTCGATCGAATACATGTGTACAGAGTGCTTCAAATTTGTTTTATTTTGCATACTATTGCATATATTATTTTGTATAATATTTGCCTCTGAAATATACTTTTTTTGTAAATCTCTTTATAAGGATTCATTGATGCATCATATATGACAAGTTTGAAGGAAGTTTATTTTTGGGCTCAATTTAATAAAGAGCGAAATATGAATGGACAAAATTGCTTCAGGCCATTTTCTTTCCACTTTGGAAGCTGCTACAAATTAAAATGTTTGTTAAAACTTATCTATAATACACAATATTTGTCAAATAATAAATTTTATTTTTCTAATTTCATCACAAGAAATGCTAGACAATTTTCTGAATTAAACTCTGATAATATATCTTTTGATTTGAAATAAATTTTATAAAATTATTTTCAAATTACAGTAGAAAATGTAATCGTAAAAAGTGATTATAATGAAAAAAATATTTATCAACTTGCAACGTCTCTTCAATATTTTTTTTATATAGTTTTGGACATTTTGTTATAAATTCATCATATGCTTAAAATTGAATTTATTCGATTAACATAAAATCGAGCTCATTTTGAATATCCTTGTTTCCTTTGTACAATATTTGAATTTTTTTTCGAAAGACCATTCGACTTGAATGATTGTCATATGAATTTTGTTTCGTGAAATTGTACTCCTTTTACGGCAAGGCATTTTGCTTCATATCATCGTCTCGCAGTGACAGATATGAAAGGAGAAGAGGAGCGAACTTTGGAAAGACGTTTTTACGAATGAGGGAAAAACATCGAGACTCGAGTTTCTAAACTCTCTCGATAATCAGGCAAGCCCTCTTTCACCTGACATTCTTTCATTCGCCTAGAAATCAATTTTCCTTAGTTTAATATACATTTCCTTAAGGGGATGCTGACCAGTCTATTTTGAATTCAAGAGCTTTTTTTTTATTGACTTTTTTTTTATTGATACAGATTGAAAAATCCTTCTCCACAATTAAAGTACTGACAATAATAAACGGGGAGCGCTGTAATTTTGTATAAAACAACGTATGTAACAATAAAAGTTAAAAAAAAACAGTTTTTTATCGGCCTCTTGCATCAGCTCATAACAATATTTATTTAATACAAAAGTTCTGCAGTTTATTTGTGCATAAAATATGGCGCTCCCAATAGAGATGACATGAAAGAATAATATAGAAGTAAGAAAGTACTTTCATTGTAGAGAATTTTTAAATTTATATATTCAATGAAAAGTGAACCTAACCTACTAACTTAAAGTCGGTAAAACAGAACTACGACAGCATTCCCTTAAAATGAACCCTCGGCTCGCATTCGCGCGAACGCGATTCATACAAACACGGACTCACACTGAATATACATATACACATCCAGTCCCAGTCGGGCATGCACGTATCTTAACAAACTCACCAAGATCCATCTTGCGTTTAATAAATCTGTAAGCTTCCACGGATGAACAAAAATTTTGGGGGCGCGTGACCAAACTCGTGGAGGAGGAAAAACGGACTCGAATCTAGGCTCAATCTCTCACAAGTCCAACAACCACTTAGGCTCGTCTATCGTGATCTCTTCGTAATCAGTCATCTTCGGCATCACCCTACATATACATTTATTCGTTTTCTATATATTTTATCATTGACTATTTTCACATTCGTCCACCTAGTTAATAGGCAGCCGCTTGTGGATGTATTAGCTGATTGAAATGGTGGTGTCCAAGATGATGCGGTGGTGGACCCGGTAGGGGTCCCGGTTGCGGCCCCACCGTCGGTGGTTGACATACGTACCATTCCGTTAGCTCAGACGTTACGCGACTCGACGCGCTCGACACGTGACTCACGGGCACCGGCGGCGGTAAGTTGATCGCCGACGTCGTCGGGACGACAGGAAGCGGTCGAGGCGACTCCGTGTTCTCCGTCACGGATACGCTGCCGCCGCTGCTGCTGCTATCCTCGCCCTCGCTCTCGTACGACCCCGGCTTGCTCTCGTTGATCGCGCCATGTATCTATATGAGCAAAAAAATTAATATAATCTCTCGCTGCAGACAGAAATTAATCTTCTTTTATCAGCTGATAAAGAAAGATTATTTAGTTTGTACACTGCAAAAAATATTATTAAATTAAGAAATATTTATTTTAATATTGTTTATTAAGAGGATTCTAAACGAAAAGTCTATTTATTGGCTATACGGATTGTTTTTTACCTGAAATTAGACCAGGCTGGATTTGACATTGGATAAAGGAATATAAGTGAATGTTTAGATATTAATTTGGAAGCCTAGTAAACGAGAATAACTCATTCTACATTGTTTTCCATGTGTGCACGAAATAAAAAAATAGACTTCTCAAGGGCGTTTAGGATCCATTTAAATCATTCATTTGAAACAGATAAATATTTTTCACATCAAATCAATATTATTAGTTTCAAATGAATAATTTATTAGGCAGTATTGAAATAAATATTTATATTCGAATTTAATAATTTTTTTTAGTGTATGTATAAAATTTATGTATAAATATATATAATTATATACATATATAATACAGTTATTATTATAGGTGTATAATATAATTATATACATATATAATGCAGTTGTATATACAGTTAATATATTTGTGATAATCTTACTATATAAATATATTATACATCTATATTATATTATACTTTTATTATATTTATTATATAACCATAGTAATATATAAATATAATTGTATTACTATTGTATATTAATATAATTATAATATATATCTTTGTATGTATGTCGGCTGAGAGCCTACCACGATGTCTTTTTGCGTCAACGAAAATTTGAAATTAATATAATTATATTATATATAAATTGAACATACATATAAAAATAATATAAAAATATATATATTATTTTATAAATTATATAATTATAATATAGTATAATTATATATATGTATATTTATTTATTTATTTATATACAATGTATTTCGCAAAAAGTTCGTAGGGCTGAAGTCGATCGTCGAGATATCGAGTCAGAGATCACGAGATCAGCGAGGAGAGCAGCATATCTCGACCTGGCCGTATAAAAGCCAAGAGGAAAGCAACGAGGATCAAGGATACGCTTCTATCTCTCTTTTGGTCCTTCCTTCATAATTCAGTGAGCAAATCTCAACGACCGTCTTCCCCGAATCACGTCTGCGAAAACCGTGGAGTAGCAAGAGCGCCCTCCGTCAGATGAACATATATATCACGCATACATCTCGAAAATTGGCCTATTTGCATGGATCTCTGTCTCCTTCTCTCCGTGCGTCTTTTTCCGCATCCAGATAATTTTTTATGAACATTCCACGGTTATTCTCGCGAGAAAAGATCATCGTTGCAATCTTAGGAACAGCTTACGATATTTTGCTATCGCGATATTTTTTACCTCTTGACGGTCTTAGAAGCTCATCTCGATATATAAATGAAATGTGATTAAAATCACCACGATTGATCATGCGCAAAGATTTTTTGCTTACTTTCTTCTCTGCGGATATATATACCGTAATATTAAGTTTTAAAATAGTGTTTAAATATTTTAGAAATTTCTAATTTTTGAAATCAATTTTCTCGAAAAGAATTTTATAATCACAGCACTATTAATTGACATTTATTTATATCGAATTATACAAGATACATCGTTATATTTGTTTATTTACATGAGATTACATATTTTTTTATCAACATTAGACTTTAATATAATACAATCTCGAGAGTATGCCTAAAGAAAAGAGATGTCATTACACAATTGTTACGTATCATAAAACGAAGCATAAAAATCGAGAAAGCGTGAAGTGGAAATAAATATATGTATCATTATATACTTATTCTGACTGCGTTTCTTACGATCGCTATAGTGATGAGAGTTGTATTAAATGAAGCGATAGATGGTCTCAAAAAAGCGCTTATTAACCGAAAGGGCGCATTTTTTGGATCGCTGAGGATCCTTTTTGTTCGCAGTTAGTTTACACAAATAATATAAATTTATCTTTGCAGAATATTTTGTATAAATCAATGTGAAATTATCTATCTATTAAAATAATTTGACCTAATTATGGAGACTTAATAATACACTCAGATTGACGCATAATTTGAAATTTATATACAATTTGATCTTATATAAATTAAACATTTATATTTAATATCAATTAAAATTAATATTAATCAAAATTAATATTGGTAAATTTCTACAACATAATATTACACAATAGTTTTTAACATACGAGAACTCATTTAAGTGTTAAATTAATAAAATAAATATAAATTTTATAAACATACCTATCAATTAAACTGAGATCAACGCAACATCATCACACTGGTGTTATTTAAAATCGAAAGTTAAAAGTTAAAAGAGGAACACGTCTCATCGTTATGATGTTGAAAGTTAAAAATTAAAAGAGGAACACGTCCCATCGTTATGATGTTTCGTCAACGACTAAATTTGAAACGCGCCACTAAACAATCTTTATTATTTGGTCGTAAATGTTTGTCAAATTCTCGGTGTCTTTCTGTAGGTTAACCGTCATGCTTCTTTATGAAGAACATTTCAGCAATCTCTCTCTTTCTTACATGTTTCTCGTTGTGTAAAATGGTCGGTGATTTCCAATCAAAGTTATGTCCAAAATCACATCTGTGTTTGCTCAGAACCGAATGATTAGACTCATGTAATTTAATATTGCTGGCATGTTCCTTCACTCTAGTGCATAAATGTCTTTTCGTTTGTCCAATGTATGATGCATTACAATTTTTACCATTAATCTTGTATACTACATTCGTTTTAATATCATTAGTTATTAAATCTTTACCTCGTTTTATCAGCCTATTCAACTTTTTTGGCAAACTATAAACGACATTTATGTTAGCATTTTTAAGTGACCTTTTAATACTGTCGCTAACATCCTTAACGTATGGGAGTGGAATTACATAATTCTTATCTTGAGCCGAATTCACATTAACGTTATTGTTTAAATTATTACTTAAACTGTCGCTATTATCCGCATTGTGACCGTTAACATTCCTATTGTTATTCAGTACATTAATTCTTTTATTTACATACTTATTAATAATATGATCCGAAAAACAATTATTAATTAAAATGTTCTTTACAATCTCAATATTCGTATTATGAAATTGTTCGTTAGACAGTAAAATTGCATGGTCCACTAAATTGTAAATCGCATTAATTTTATACTTAATAGGATGACTCGAAAGAAAATTGATGTATCTGCCAGAACATGTAGGTTTCCTAAACCAATTAGTTGTCAATTTATTCCCATTGCGGATAACTGTAGAATTTAAAAAATTAATAGAAGAATTGGTCTCTATTTCATGTGTAAATTTTAAACGTTCATGATAGTTATTAAATGTACTTGAAATTTCATTTATTTTAGAGCTAGGTAAAATAACAAAAATGTCGTCCACATATTTATAAAAAGTCTGAACTTTAAAACTTAAAGAATTTAAACAATTTGTTTCCAAGTCATCCATTACCAAGTCAGCCAATATCGGTGATAATTTATATTTCTTTATTATGTATGTATATATATTTAATGTATAATTATATACATTAAATATATAATAAATATATATTAAATATATTAAATATATATAATATATATTATATTAACAAATTTATTCAAATGTATATTTAATATATTATTTTTACATATAAAACATATAAAAAATATATGTAAATATATATGTATATTTAATATATTTGTTAATAAAATGAAATTTTGATTAACATCTTGTAAAAATTTTTGGCATCAAACAAAATTTTCAAATATTATTTGCGAGACACGAGCTTAATTAAAATGCGTAAATATCGAATTTTAAGTAGCAAGTTCTCGTCGACCATGACTAAAAATGTATATGTACATATATATAATTATATAATATCGTTATAACAATGAAATACCTTCATGTGTTTACGCAGTGAACTTGGATGAGTGTAGGACTTGTCGCAATTATGTTGTCGACAAGTGTAAGGTTTGTCGGATGTGTGAACGTGACTATGTTTCTTCCGATCACTACTGTTCGCGAACCTTCTATCACAGCCCTGGTATTCGCACTTGAAGGGCTTCTCGCCTAAAAGAAAAGAACACAATAATACAGATTCACAAATAACGTTTCAATTAAATATATATATATAGCATTTATTTTAAATGGACGAGAAAGATCGTCGTTATAAAATATTAATTTTAAATTTAATTTAATATTAATTCTGACAGCTGTCAAAATCGAGACGCATTCGATAAATAAATTATATTAAGTTACTTTCCAACATATATATCCTTAATTTTATTTTTAACTAGAAATAGAAATGTCTAAAAAAATGTCTGATATTAATTAAGTCTCTAATATAAATATACTTTTTCATAATCGAAATATTTTATTCCCTATTTCAAACTTTGAGATATATGTTTGTACGGATTGATAAAAAAAAAAATCTATACTCGATAAAATAATTAAAAAAAAATTACGATGGATTGGAATAGAGAGGAGTCAATTCGCATCATGATTACGTATAGGTGTCGGTAATTAAAAGACAGTTAATTGCGCAAGCGCGCGCTTGCGTTACGGAGAGCCTCATCTTGATTATAGTGTATCTTGATGAGTGGCTCGGCGCAACTACTTTCGATGGCTTCTCTTGGCTTTGCTTAGGGCACGCGAAGAAGAGAGAGAGAGAGAGAGAAAGAGAAAGATATCGAGAGATAAGGTCCCCTGCACACGAATGGCCGCCGTAGTCGGGGAGACCGCGCGCGCGGTGGCGTGACTCTTATTTATTTCCAACGGAAGTTGACTGGAATATATTTTACCGTGTCGGTCCGCACCCCCACATTCTACTCCCTCTTCCGGAGCTTCCTCCTCCCGGCGCTCTCGAGAAGAGCGGAGACGCGCGAACCGGAAGCGCGAACTTGGCGGATTTTTTATGAGAAAAATGGCGACTCTCTCTCCCTTTCTTTCTCTCTCTTCAATTCTCGCCCTTCAAGGAGTCCCAGAATTGGGAATATGTGTTACCGAAACGCATAAAACCGAGACGCTATAAGGGGATGATTCTGCGAGCTTATATCGGAGTTTGAAGTAGAGAATAAAAAGATATTCCGATTACAAAAAATTATTATTAACAATAAATCAAATAATTATTAATTTTTACATTATTTTCGACATTGAAAAAAAAATTAGTTATAATTCTTATAAGTATCTATTTCAATACTATCAAATTTTGATATGAAAAATATTTATTTTAAGGGGATGATTCTGCGAGTTTATATCGGAGTTTGAAGTAGAGAATAAAAAGATATTCCGATTACAAAAAATTATTATTAACAATAAATCAAATAATTATTAATTTTTACATTATTTTCGACACTGAAAAAAAAATTAGTTATAATTCTTATAAGTATCTATTTCAATACTATCAAATTTTGATATGAAAAATATTTATTTTAAGGGGATGATTTTGCGAGCTTATATCGGAGTTTGAAGTAGAGAATAAAAGATATTCCGATTATTCAATAAATCGATTTACAAAGTAAAATTATTATATTATTTATATTTTTACAATAAATCAAATAATTATTAATTTTTACATTATTTTCGACACTGAAAAAAAAATTAGTTATAATTCTTATAAGTATCTATTTCAATACTATCAAATTTTGATATAAAAAATATTTATTTAAGAAAATCCTTTTCAAAACAAATAAATATTTATTTGTTTCAAATAAATGATTCGTTTGACAGTATTGCACTAAGTATGTATTAATTTAGTCATTTTTTCAGTGTACACTAAAAAAAATTTGTTAACTTGACTAAACCTTTCAACTAAATTACTATTTTATTAACTCAACATATATTAGTATTTAAGTCAAATATACGTTTTGTTAAATTTAAAATTTATTTAAATTTAAATATTTTATAGGTTTAGTAAACAAAATAATATTTAGTTGAAAGGTTCAGTCAAATTTTTTTCAGTGTATTTCTAATTAATTAGATTTCTCCTTTGGTCATTTAAGAAATAGACAGCAACTTATTATTAATCAAATTTAATTAACCTTTATTGAAATTTTCAAACATAATTAATTGCCCGATTAACAATCTTTGTGTTCCTATAGAAGCTTATTAATTTTACAAGCATAACGATATCGCGTTATTCGTCTGATATGCGTGAAAAACATGCGATAAGATTACGATGGCAGGCGTGACACTTACATATCGTGATACAGATTATATTCAAATCGTTCAACATGCGGGCATCATAAGTAGGTGTGCTTTAAATATTTATGAAGCCAGAGAGAGAGAGATGGCGGTTTTCACGCACGGTGTCACCTGTTATCTCAAACGACTCATTGTCAGCTGTAACTCTCTGTTTCTCACTCGCATTCGCTCAGAAAGGGAAACATCTCAATTCTTGGATTTTACGACATCTTGCTTATCTCGATTGCAAATGCATTCGCACCACGAAACGCATGGAAATATATATATTTATATATGCAAGATACTTGCGACGATGTGCATATTTATAAGCCACCATTTATATTCAACCCCCCTCCCCCCCAAAAAAAACATGAGAAATAGAATATTTTTTGGCATTGATAATTATTTCAAATTTTAGAAATCTATGATAAAAAATGGACCATTTTAATGCATTTTGCCATGCTAGTTGAAATATGTGACATATTAAAAAATTTATTATTTAGTAATTTATTTAAAAAATAGACTCCATATTTAATTATATTTTATCATCAATTATTTATTTATTTTTTTTTAATTATAATCGGCTTATAAAAAAATTATAACACAACTTTAATCGAAAGTTGACACGGCGGAACAGTTTGACAGCGAGAATGACATGTGTCAAAAAATCGACTAAGGGGAATAATTTTTGTTACTTGAACATAAAAAAATAATTCTCTGTCGAACTTCATAATTTAATCGAATAATTTGCATACGCGACAATTTGACGATCCGCGGCGCAAATGACAGCGGGATCAGGATACATTCGCGTGTCTCAATCCAGATCCTCGTCACAAAAGAGAATTGGCTCGACTTTTTGTGGCCGGTCTCCACCCATCGATTCACACCTCCTCGAGAAGAGGAACCCTCTGCAGATCGAAAAAAGGGGCACGTTCGCATCGTCGCGGCCAAATGTGTCTGGTTAGCCAACAGCTCGCGTGAAAAGGAGCCACCTCTGAAGGGATGAAGGAAAGGGGGAGAACGGAGGGCGAGAGAGGCACTCCTTTCCAAAACAGGACGATTAATAACTTTTCAAATCTGTCCCCGGCAGGGCCAGGAAAAGAGAGAGAGAGGGACCTTCGGTAGCGCGCGCGTTGGCAAATAAATAGCGGATAAATAAAAGCGCGCGCGTCTCTCCTACGTCGTTGCATTCTGTCGTGCGCGCGGGGTTGCGTGTGCAGATGGCAACAATATGCCGTGAAATATTGCCGGCGGTCAATGTGTGCTACCACCGCGATACAGCCATGCACACAGCGTCGGCGCGAGACCATGATCGGTTGAATATAGGGTGTCCCAGAAATCTTCCCCAAATCGTCTTCATTTCAATTTTGATAGATGTCAAAATTATTATTAAATTACATTTAAAATTCATTTCAATATTCAATTTTATATTTCATATATTTATATTTTATTTTATATTTTTTTGCTTTTTATTTATTAATTTTTATTTTTTTTTTTATTAAAAATTAAATTTTGATTAAGATGTCAAAGCATCAATAATTTACAAATTAATACACAGGAAATCATTAAATCGAGTAGGTAAAACTCTAGCGAAATTTAAATAAATTTTGCACACATAAGTAGAATATTTCAGGATTGTATCCTATTTATCGAAATGGATAAAAAATGTATGTAAATACGTGTCCAAAAATGCGAAAAATTATTTTTACATTACAATTACGTCTTAATATAATTACAAAGCATTCTATTTTTTTCCAACCAGTGTAGAAAATAATTCCTATATTTCAAAATAATTCATTTTTACAATGAATAAAATTTTTCAAAAATTATTCATATAAACAGCACCTGTTAAGTGTCTTGACAGAACGAATGAAAAAATTCTGGACGCATGTTCGTATAAATGGTTTTGCCTTTCAAGGAACAGAAAATGGAATACGTCCCTGAAATAGTGGACCTACATTTTTGTTACACCCCGTACAAGCCTGTACTCTGTACACGTATCCTCAGAAGATAATCATCCCTGTATGCGTGTGTCGTTATACGTGCACAGTCACAATACGAATTTGCGAATAGCTCGAGACATGCACGTACGTATACGCTTGTGTAGGTACATACAGAGAGAGGTCCGATTGTGCGTCGGGTTCGCATCCCCGGACACGCATACCTGCGCCAGACTTGAAATTCATGGTGCACCAGGTTACACGCCGTGATATAGGCGGCCAAAGGGGAACTCTATCGAGGCAGTTCCCGAGGAGTGCAGTGTAGGCACAGACTTGTGTGTTATGACTTTCAGAATGGGGAGGCACAATGGCCCAGATCCGCGCCGGATAAAATAGTTATTATAATCGTTTTGGCTACGCGCGGGGCTGAGATCAACGAGCGCGTGTAGGTACACTCGACTTCGCGGACGTGTGCTAGATTTAGACGCTACATTTTAGATCGTATTTTGTAGCGGGATATTGCTGCTCGCACACGGAGAGAATTTTCTCTTACACGGTTGAAACATTTCTCTGACAAATATCGCATCCCAAACGGTCCACAGAAATTTTTGTGTTAATTTAACATAATATGGATATGGAGACACAAATATTGTGTTAATATTTTAACGCAAAATAAATGCAAATTATTTAAAATAAATTTTGTGTAAAATTAACTTTTAATGTAAAAATTAACTAAAGTATTAAATTTTGAATTTTATCATCTCTACTCATATTATAAAATAGAAAATCAACATTTTTTCTGTAAATTTTAACAGATAAATCTTGTCACTAATGAAGCAGAACATAATTATTGTGTACAAAATTAAAAAATAAGTGTACGTTGTGTTATTTTTACATCTTTTTTCAGTTGTTTTAATAATTTAATATTTAAGTTCAATTAACGAAATA